AACTCGATGTAGATAATTTATAATATCCTGCTGTTTGTATGTGAATGCGATCGTATAGCGCGTGTGGAGTTTGGTTTTATATTAATTCTTGCAAAATATTTATATGTGACCAATTGTCACATTTTTATTTGCCGAGCTAACAAAAGTCTATCAATCCTATTTTTTCGTTAGCCGTCTGGCGACTTCCAGCATAGGAACTAATGTATTATTATTTATTAAAATATAAGAACGTAGCACTTCATTGCCCCAAACTGTAAATTTCTATCACGAGTTTAACAAAATCCATAAAAGGAAAGTACAACATTGGGGCGAGGAATGAACAAATGCGTTCCATTCTATACAACTCTTTGCTGTCGTTGAAACAAAATAAAAACAAGAAAAACATGAGTGGCATTTTGTAGTAGTGCGAAGAGCCAAGCTCTTATTGGCTGATTAAAAAAAAAGGTGGGTAGACCTCAAGGCATATAACATTGAGGTCAACCCACTCCTCTTCTAATCAAAACCAATGAGAACTCGCCGTCGTTCTGACGTGACTGCAACCCCTGCGCAAGATGTAGACGGTTTGCTCTCCGGGTTGGGCCACACAAGGAGCTATAAACGCTGCTTGCTGTGTGGTCTCCGGTCGTATATTTAAAATATCTGCTTAAGATATTTTACATATTCGTATTCACTTCCTTGTTATGTCGATTTTATTTTTTTATAAAATCTGACGGTAGGTGGCGTATCGTGTCGTAGGCCCGTAGGCAAGTTCGGCAGTAGCGCATCGAATTTAAGACTTCAGGGCCCCTCGGGTAGTTGACGAACTCAGTAATTGACAGATAAAGCTTGTGGTAATCTGTGTGGTATTCTCGCTCTACAATAATTACTGCCTTATCGGTTTGTGCCTCGCTCGTCTCCCAGGGAGTGACACAACACAACGAGAAGACAGCGAATGGATCGGTGCCTCCCGGTCGCCCGTCCTCGAGAGCCGGCAGTCCGAGCCCACCGACCCTGGTTGTCACCCGTCGTTCAGAGCGCGCAGTCAGAGTATGTGCCCAGGCCCGCGGATCGTCCTTCCCACGCCAGCGCTGCGTAGGCTAGCTCCCCCGGGCTATCACAGCCCGAGTCTCGCTGCGGAACCACTCCGGGACCGTCATGGCCCAGGCCGGTATGTCCACGTCCAGGGCTCGCCGTTCCCACCGGTCTTGCTCCAAACCTCGCTGGTGCAGCGCTCCGGGGGTCGCCATGGCCCAGACCAGCCAGACCGGCTCCGTCGTTCCTGCCCGGCGCCAGCCTCGCGCAGCACGCCCTGTCTCGCGCCTGCTCGTGTCTTCTCGGCGACCGCCTGTCACGTGCCCTCGCCCTTATCTTCTTCCACCCCCGTTTCCCACAAGCTTTATGTATTATCTTTGCCAAAACTAATCTAAACCTATGTACACCCTCCTCGATTTGCCAAACAACACTCACATGAGGAATAAACATTAAATAAGTCACGAGTTAGTGTTGCCCAACAGGCTCATTCATGTTAAGAGGTGCGCCAATAGTCTGTGGCAACATAATATCGGCAGTAGAAGGTCTGCAAGAAAAGCATTGCAAGCTTTTCTCTCACAACACTTCCGCGTCTTGTGAGAAATGCTCAGCTAAAACACGTGTGAAGGTAACGAAGGAGCAGGGTTGGGCACTATTGCGACACAAATGTATCGCGATAGTATTTTAGAAATATATTTTGTATCTGTATTTCTCTATCGCGATACATTTTTTTCACCAGTATCTGTCTTCCTGTATCGAAACACATTTGGAATGTTTCTTTGTATCGCGATACAATCAGGATGAAATGTATTTCGTTACATTTCTTGAAACCCCCCCCCCCCCTTTTCCCCCGAAAAAAACAAGAAAAAAAAATCCGAACGCATTTTCTTTTTTTCTTTTTTTTTCTTTTTTTTTTTGCTTCTGAAGGCATCAGGGTTAAGGGAGTGCTGGGGCATTGTTACTATGCTGACCAAGGTTCCTTCAGATTCTCCAAACTTTTTTCTATGCGTCCTGTTATCTCTTCTGAGAAGTGTTGCGTAGTCGGGGACTCGAACCAGGTAGCGTGCCAAAAGTGGAGCCAGAGCATCTTCTGCCGCAGGTTTTTAGGTAGGAATTTCTTGAGTCATTGTTTGCTGGCATCCAATGCCTGCTGCTAGCCGTCTCTCTTGCATTAGCGTGCACAGTCCCGACAAACGGACTGTGACTCAGCCGGCAAAGCTGAGTCACAGTCCGATGCAGCACGAGCCTGGCGGTGGTTGGCTTAAAATAGTAGGATGACTCATGCAGTAAAGCTCAACACATATTCGAATGCGTCTGCGGCTGCGCCCGTAATATTGCACGTCTCAAGGGTACGCCATCAGCCGACGTGAACATTGACCCGCTGCTCTGGTGATCCAAAACCCAGGAAGGAGACCAGACGTGGCCTCGTGGTGCCAACCCAGACTTCGTACCATACTTGGGTAGTATTTCAATTACAGTAATTGAATTACTTTTACAAGTCCAAAAGGAATTGTAATTGTAATTACTTTGAAGCGTCAGTAACTGCAAAATTTCAGGCACAATTACAATTACTTTTTCGAAACTTTGCAGCGCCTACAGAACCTCTCTGAAACCCTCAGCGCTCGCTCGCGCGACCTAGCTATCGGTCAAACGCTCGCACAAAGACACAAACTCGCACACACAGACAACATAAAGAGCGTCGCATTGTTTGCTGTTTTGCTGCTTACGCTGCTGGCTGAGAAACAATCCTCTTTGGAGCCTACCTCAACGGCGCCGTGTTGCCCCGTCTGCTTCCGAGCAAACAACAATAACGTAAACGCGACAAAATATTCAGAAAAAAAAAAAATTAAGCTTCAGCTTTGAGTTGAGCTAGGAAATATTATTATCTGTAATCTTTTTTTTAGCTTTTGACATTTGTTTTCTTAGTACTGTCGCATAATTGTATCTTGGTATTATTTTCGAGTTTATTTCCTGCTGGTTCTACTTCGTATATTTTTTTCGCATAAGTATTTTGGAGACTGAACTCACACCGGCGATACCAATGATTTGGGAGCCCCGATTCGATTCTAATATATTACTGAGCCATTATAACTTCAACTCAATGTAAATAATTTACAATGCCGTGATGTTTGCATGTGAGTTTGGTCGTATTAGCGCGTGTGGATTTTAGTCTTATATTAACACTTGTAAAATATTCATAAATAACTAATTATCGCATTTTGATTTTCCGGGCTAACAAAAGTCTGCAACCCAATTTTTTTCTTTAGCAATCTTCCAGCATATAAACTAATTTATTATTATTTATTAAAAATATAAGAACGTAGCACTTCATTGCCGCAAACTGTCAAGTTCTATCATGAATTTGACAAAATTGATAAAAAGAAAGTAAAATACTTGAATATTGGAGTAAGGAATGAACAAATACATTGCATTCTATACAACTTGTTCAAAGTTATATGGCCCAAGTCGGGTCGCTCTCAGAAGTAAGTAATTGTAAAGTAATTGCATTAATTTTTAAAAGTAATTGGTAATTGTAAATAATTACTTTCACTTAGTAGTAATTGTAATTGTAGTTAAACTACTTTTGAAGCAAAGTAATTGTAATTGTAATTAAATTACATTTTGAATGTAATTTACCCATGTATGCTTCGTACGCCTGCGACTCGTCTCGAGCGCGCTGTTTCTCGGAGAGCTCGCACCTGGGCCGGTAATGTCATGTTGCAATCCATAAGGTCTCTGTTTGGATGATGCTAGGCGATACTTGATGACTGAAATCCATCCGTCGGTGGCGGAGGGTCGGCAGAAACGACCTTCACAACAGGGATGCCACCGTATCGTTTTTTCAACCGTAGCAGACGATAAGACATGTGTTCCAAGATGCTTCAGGTGGTCCACTATTCTCGAAAATTCCAAATGACACTGCCTGCACGATCTTCAACGAGGTAAACTACAACGAAAGTACCTATTTTCCTTTCATACAGCAGCGTGGTAAAGTTTCATGTTCAAGGTCACAACTACAGATAGTGAATACCAGTTCATTCCACCGTGACCTCATGTGATCAATGTTGAGAGGGGCATCCTTATCGGACAGGGGCGTTGTGACGTTTTGATGGGATTTAGGGTGATATCGAATTTATTTAGAGGTCGAAGTCTTTTCGCACTCCTCGTCAGACGGACAGGATGTCAGGGAAGGGACCGCGGTCAGACCTTGATGAAACGTTTTCTTGAGCTCATTGAAGACTCCTCGCCGTCCGAAATCACTACCTTCAAGGCAAAGTGCCAAGCTTACGGGAAAGTAATTTCGGAATCAAAAACTTCCACTTCAAATTTCAAGCTTCATCTCAGTTCGCGTCTCAAACAAATCTGAAAAATGTATTGCAGTATCAGTATTTCTGTATTTGCATTTCTGCCCTTCCTAAAATGTATTACTGTATTCGTATTTGCAAATACGTTTTGTCTCTATTTAAATGTATTTCCGATACGTATCGCGATACATTTTCACAGATATATTATTTTAATGTATCCCAGTATTTGTATTTCCAAATACATTTTTGAGTATTTCTGCCCAACCCTGCGAAGGAGCGCCTCAGGCGGAGCTCCTTCAATTCCTGCGGTGCAACAAACATTTTTTTCCGATATTAATTGTTCACCCATGCGTGATCGTATGACGTCTTTGTCAACATTCTTCCACAATAGAAAGAGTGGAATCCTGTTGTAGCTCAATCCCTCTACTTCGTAGAAGGAACAATGCTAAAGCAGCAAATGGGGAGTGTCTCCACGTCATAGGTGGGCAAATTCCTAACGATTTCGCCTTCCTGCGTCGAGAGCCCGATGATGTTTATAAATCACGTTTTACAATAAACAATCCAGTTCTAAGAAGCCCTTGGTGTCGTCGTGTTCTCTCTCTCTCTCTCTCTCTCTGTCATTGAGGCGCTTAATGTTCTTTCTTCGTACTCCCATTTACGCCAATTCGGTGAGAGCAATCCGCGATCATGGTTTTTCGGTGTGGTATTGAATGCAGTACAAGATCAACACTCAAAGGTAAGCACATTTTTATGAGCGACTATTTAGCTTTATCTTAGCATGTTTTAAACATCTGTGATACCCTTGCCATCTGATGAACTAAAAAGGTACAAGCAATGTCATCGCAATTAATCGGCTTTGGTCATTACCTTATTCGTTTACTAAAAAACGCTCGTTTCATCAATCTGTAGAGACCTTTTGTAGCACACAACTCATGACAAGCCGGCTACCTCGGTAGAAATGATCAATATTTGTTCTGGAATGTTTTCTCAGTTAGAATAACACTTAGAAGAATGGATAGTTGGGCGAGTTGGTGGGAATTCATCTTGGGAAACAGCGCGAACAACAGACGTGGATGAAGAAGAAACACACGGGACGAGCGCTGACTATCAACTGACTATCAACTGAACGCTCTCCTTCATTTTGTGCTGGCACGATTTTGACAGCGCATTCCGGACACAAGACACAGCACTACCGTTTTTTATCAGCTTTGAATGGGTGGACCGGAAATGAACCGCTAAGTTTCTGCTCAATTTCCGGTCCGCCCATGCAATGCTGACAAAAAAACGGTATTGCTGTGTCTTGTGTCCGGAATGCGCTGTCAAAATCGTGCGAGCACAAAATGAAGGAGAGCGTTTTAGACCAAATAGCGAGGCTCCGAGAAGCAGGCTTTCCAGATCCGGTGATTCCCGCAGCCTGCGAAAAAGTAAAGAGTTTCAGGGTCAATGCAGCAACAAACTGTGCTGAGCGGGAAGGGAATAACAAAAAGAAGGTGGCGTCCATTCCTTACATTCACCGCGTTTCGCACGGGTTAAAGGGGATCGCAGCAAGATACGGTGTAAAGTTGTTTTTTCGGCGAAAAACAAGCTGAGACAGATATGCCCCGCCATAGAAAGGCGTCTTAGTAAGCGGAAAAATCCGAGTAGTCCTGGTTGCACTGTAAAGCATGGCACACAGTTCGTTTCACGCACCGTTGGAGCAGTGCAGGGATGGGCAGTATTTCAAATACAAGTATTTCAAATACGTATTTCAAATACTTTGTGTATTTTGCATTTGTATTAATTTACAAATTAGGTAATGTATTTGACGAGTGTATTTAAATACTAAAACGTGGGTATTTTAAATACAATTGTAATTAAATACAATTTTGTGGGCGAAAATACATCCCTCAAATTTATTGTCACGACTCATTTTGCTCATCCTAAGACGTGTCCAGAATAGGAAGAAAACTATGTTCTGCACCGAATGCAGTGTCTCTCAATCAAGAACAAGCGTTTAGTGACTACGTGATTACGGTGCTAGTCCAGGGCAAGAATAGTGACGAAATCGACGTTCACAGGCAGACTGGCTAAATAAGTGCCCGTGACAGCTTGTGATGCTTTCCAGCCTGATTTCCATCCATATTTTTGCATGGAACATTCTAAATGCGCGGGTCGTCCAGATTATCGTAACTGGTGCGAGTTGCAACAATAAAAAATTCTCTAGCTAGTGCTGCGCGTCTTGGTGGTCTCGGTTCTTTGTTGGTCTATACCAAAATATAATCGACAAAAAAAGCTGCTTGAAGCTCTGTACTTTTTTCACTTATTACGTCCAAGCTGATTACAGTTTTTTGTTATTATATTTTTATTGCCTTACTAGAGCCTCGCACATTAATTCCCGAGTGTGCGATGCAAAATTAAAATGAGATATCCAAAAACCCGTTTCAGGTGCCCTGAAGTCGCTGACGCAAATTTTGAGGAATGTATTTGGAAAAGTATTTGGAGGAGACCAAATACATTTGGTTGTATTTGTATCTTGTACTTAAAAGCTTTTTCGGAAATGTAACTAGATTTGTAATTAAATACATTTTTGACGAAGTATTTTGTATTTGTATTTCGATACATATTTGCATGTATTTTGCCCATCCCTGGAGCAGTGTATAGGATACCCTTTTCATGTAGGCGGGTGTATATTGGCCAAACGGGGCGCTGTTTGAACATACATTTAAGAGAGCCCCAGAGTTCGTTGAAGGGGTGTGCATACTCTCATCTTGCAATGCGTTGTCGCGATCGTAACTGTGAGTCGAGATTCAGTGACACTGAAGTTTTGTTCAGACACAGGGATCAAGTGTCTAGAGAAATAGTAGAAGCGTACCAAATAAAAAAGGGCGGCAACCTCGTGTGTCAGCCAACCGTCTTTGGCACTGCTGGACAGTGAGGTGGCGTTTTTGAATTTGGGATAGCAACACGTTCCATCACGCCCCTATGAAAGTGTCTCGTAATACGCAGACGAGGGGTGAACTGCAAAATATGAATGGTCGTTTTCATGTGTTTTCCTATTAAAATAATTCAGTTGATAGTCAGCGCTCGTCCCATGTGTTTCGTTTTTGTCCACGTCTGTTGTTCGCGCTGTGTCCCCAGATAAAATAACACTTCGTCTATAAATCTAAACGAATATTGTTTTTAATTTACACATTCAAAAATCATAAGGATTTCACAAGAAAATAGACAAAGAGGTCCAGTGTTTACAAACGCCGTATAGAAATATAGACGTCAGCATTAAAAGATGTTATTCTTTGGATCTTCTGCCAAAACAAGTTAATTATATCTAATACGCAATGATTCTATAACACTATTGAGAACGCACTGACATTACCGTTTTCTTCTAGTGATAATTCTTACAACTTTGTTCCTTGCTCTGCGTTGCGAAAATAACGCTGCTACGGAGCCAGACGATGTTCTAGGCGAGATAGATTTGCTTAACCTGACACAATATGAGGATGTAATGACCAAAGAAGATATGGAAGATGCTGAAACAGCGCTTTGCATTTACATCGCAGAAGAGGCTGAAGAGGCAAGTTTGCGTTGGCTTCTTTGATTTTGCACATCGTGAAATCGCTTGAGCACGGGAGGAAACCTTCATTACGATCCTAAAATAGAAAATATCTAAATTGAGATAAAACCTCGTACACCTTCATATTTTCATTATAGTGCTCGCAGCAAAATGGGTTTGTCCATAATTTCTCCGGATATAACCTGGTTATTTTGAATCAACTGTGATTATAAAAAATTTGAGCAGCCCGGATGTAATTAATATTTGTTGACTCAAAAAGTGGGGCAGAAACTAAAAAATTAAAGACGTTTACAACTCCCTGTAACGCCGAATTAGAGCGCGGCTCTTAAGGAGGAGGAGGGAAAGGTACTGAGAGGAGAAGGTTGAAAGTCCCCACACTACTAACATGGATGTGGACCGACGTGTGCTTAACGCAAGTCGCAGAAAATGCGCATCTTTGGTGAGAGCATCGCGTGTAAATTTGGCGGGAATTTAGCGGGACAATTTTTTCCCTAACTTTAGCTGGAATTTTTTTCCACTAGATTTAGCGGGGAAATTTTTTCCGCTAAATCAAACGGGGACATTTTTTCCGCCAAATTTAGCGGGGAAAGATTTTTCGCCAAAGTTATCGGGGAAATTTTTTTTCCGCTAAATTTAGCGGGAAAGTTTTTTTCGCTAGATTTAGCGGGGAAATTTTTTCCGATAAATTTAGCGGGGAATTCAGCGTCATCGTCACTATCACTGATGACGTCATCAGTGACGATGACGATTACGTCATCCTCGTCCTCATCGTTATCGCGCGGTTATGCCGACGGCGACGCCGCTCAAATCGGAAACGGGCGCCTAAGAGCTGCGCTCTAAAAATCTGCAACCGGTAATGATAAAAAAACTGCCAAATAAATACACTACAAATAATCAAAGGCCTCACTTTTTTTTTTTTCTTTTTTCAAGTTAAACCAACATAACTGCTGCTGTTGCATTGTCAGGCTTTAAGGTTTACCTCAGCCCTCGACTACCCTATCTACGCTAATCAAAAAGGTTCCAGAAGCCGGAACTAATCATGATAAAACAAACTACACCGTCTTGACGCAACAAAAATAACCGTTTGATCAGACGTTTCCTATATCAGTAAGACATTATCAGTGATGTGAATGTTGCGGAAATGAGAAGACACGACAATCAGTAGTGATATATAAGGAGGTCAGCTGGGAGACTCGTCGACGGGCGACGAGCCTCCCAGCTGTAGATGAACAATTTAGCCAGTGCAGTACAACCGCTAGCCTGGGGTCTTTAACGTACATCACGCATTAGTGATACACGACCGCACGCCGGTACGATGCTCATCCAGATCGAACCGGGCGGGGGTGGCGATTGAGCCCAGAATCCCTGAGTTCTGCAGCGCGAGCTTTCGCTCCACATGCTCCGAGCTGGTGTGCGCTAGCCCACTCGGTCACTGATCCCCCTGAATTACTTTGGATGCACCACGACTCTGTATCTTTGTGGGACTCACCTCCGTTCATGCATCGAAATTGACGGATTCTCGACATAAAAATTGTTACCCGTCGTCCTAAAACTATCAACAAGTTCAGTCTGACTTTGTGATTGTGTGACTTTGGCCACGTCTTGCTTGTCCCCTCTGAGAAGAATAATACAATTTCGGTCGAACTCCCTGATACACGACAAGTCAAAGATTTTTTTTATTTTTTTTATTTGTTTATTTTCTTGTATAATGCCCCCTGGACCTTAAAGGAATTATAAATGATGATGATGATATAATTCAATTTGTAGACAACCCAACGCTGGAACTCCGACGGATTCTGTCTTTCGGTCTGGCTAACCAGCGGACAGCGGGGGTTTAAACTAGTTTATGTAACTCCCATCATATGTTTAAATTCAGGAGGAAAGCTCGCTACATTTGTGTGCTCTGGAAAAAAGCTCGCCAGATGTTTTTGAGAAACCCGCAGAAAAGCTCACTTGGAATTACATTTTTATGCAGGGTCGTCATAATCGTTCTTTTTTTTTTTTTTAATGTAACGAAATCTACATGTGTCTCTGATGAAGGCGGCGCACATTTCAAAGCAGTGTGCTCCGCTGCGACCCTTGTGCCGCTTTCATGTCGACCGTTTTCGCCTGGCTATTTATTCTGACGTTGCCGAGATGCGGGAAATATCAGCCTTCTTTATATGCTTATTTAGCAAGGGTTTCGAATTGAACGCGTACTTTTTAAATAGGTTGTGAAATGTTAAGTCTTGACAATGCGAAGGGGGGGGGGGGGGGGGGGGGGGTATATGGCAGCCGAACATACTTCAATTGAACCAACATGTCTCAGTTCACTAAAAGCTCGGTTCATAGATTTGCAGGTTAGCTTTTCTCTTCATCGGCAAAAAGGTCGGTGAGCTTTTTTTCGCATCTGACGGTTTGGCGGTAAGATTTTCTCCTGTGAGTTTATCTCGTTTGAGCTTTTCGCCGGTTAGCTACTTTTCGCCGCCCCTATATTAGCCTTCTACAGAGAGTGGTTATTATGTAACTCATAAGCTAGTTATAAATCACAACATAAGTGTTTTGCTATCCAATTTGAGGTAGTGCAAGAATTATTACATTCCCGGCTTAAGCTATGTTCCCTTCCCGAAGTCTACGTTGTATACCAGGGGCGGCCAAGCTCACCCTGCCTAAGAGCCACAAACAAAACCACGAAACTTCCAAGAGTCGCAGGGGGGCGGGGGGCAACCTTTTGTTTAGAAAAATAAACGAAACTCGAACTTCTTTCAATCTGTCCGACTCAAAAGCAGTCCATTTGTACGTAAGACTACCAAACCGCAACCTGCCTTTCGATTTAAAACAGGTTCCATTCCTTTTTTTTTGGGAAAGTCCTCGTGTGACTGGAAGGGTGGGGGGTGGGGGGGGGGGGGGGGGGGGGGCATAGGGGAGGAAGCCGCGAGCCGCACTTTAACACGCGAAGAGCCGCAGCTCGGCCATTCCTGTTGTATACAATGGCCGAGACTCTTGATCCACACATAACACGTGGCGGGCCATTTAATGTGACCAAGGGGTCTAGCTTATTAACCAGAAAAACAAAATAGCAAATACTTATGACTGAAAAGGGGTATGCACTTGGGCTAGTTGGTGATTCATAGTTTAGAGGATAATCTGGCAGCACACTGCAGCAGATGTGGGCGTGTCTCGCTGTTTTACGACACCATTATCTCAGCAAGAAACCAAAATAAAACTACAAGGGAGATATTGAAGCGTTCGTCATAACGAAGTACGTTTAAGGCACGTGTGTCGTGGCGCTATCGATAGCCTGTGTCCTCTGTGTCGCGCAAAAAAACCTCTATACTGCATCGATAGCCTTGTTTGACTCTCAGGTGGCGTTTTTAAAATCGAAAAGTAAATGGTAGAAAGATAAACACTTATGTGATGATGTTGCAGTTATTTCATCACATGTCTTGATTTCACGGTGTGTGTGTGTATATATATATATATATATATATATATATATACACTTCAGTTGCAAGTAGAGCTCTGGGGTGTTGGTCTCTTTCGCTTGTCCGCTGTTTTACAGTGACGCTGTTTATGGCTAGGGTTCCGTAAATTTTTCGTGTGTATGACCAAAATATCCACGCTCGCACCGCCGCACGCGCCGCACGCGCACGTCTTCCCCGTAGAAAAAAGTGTGGAAGTAAATAACCAAAACAAATCGTTGACGAACGCGCGTGCAAGATGCCATATGTTTTAGGCTTATCCTTTAGAGCAGTTACTGCTGCAAACGCCGGAACGTGCGTCGCGTGGAACAGCATTCCCTGCATTCTCCTTGATGCTTGGGTAATTTAGCCAATACGGTCTATTCATCAGATTAGTTATCAATAAGCACCATTTTCAAGATCAGTAAACTCTCAGGCAGATAATAAAGGATTCTCAAAGATCTGCCGCTTGGCAACCCGCGTCGGCCATGTCTACGCTCTCACCACCCTCTCTTTGTCGTCGTTCCAAGCCGAGTTTCCTTCCGCTCTCCCGCGGTGGCTGTCTCGTTGCGCGTGTCTACTTTCCGCCGGGTGGGGGTCCCGTCGCGCGTGTCTAAACCCCTCCGGCTCTTCGGGGTGGGTCTGTGTCGTGCACTAAACAGATTTGCTGGTTATTCACCTTCCCAGAGTGGAAGGGCTCATGAATGTTTTAGCGCTTTTACCCTCTAAACCTTGCGACTGACTATACTATGCGCAAGTTGAAATTTAGTGTGTGCATTTTAGTGTACTGTGGTCATTTGCTGAATTCGCTTGCAGGAGAGGAGTGGGCGCTCCTTTGCGTAACGAACAGAGAGGCGCAAGCGCCGTGGTCGCTTTCTAAATGGGGCAAATAATTGTTTCATTTATTTATTTATTTATTTATTTATTCATGATACCTTGAAGGTCCATTACTGGACATTACACAAGAGGGGGGGGGGGGGTTTGGTCAGGTTACAGTATAGTCAACACTTAAAAGAAAAAGAAAAAAAAAAAAGAACAGTACCAACAGGATAGTAATATCACAACTGAAACAACACTTTAACAAAATTATGCATTATACAAATTGTAGGGTCCAAGCACATATAACACTTCATTATGTGGGCAAGAACATCACTGTAATCTAAAACTAAATAGTAGTTAAAAAATCTAAGACAGCTACTCGGAATGCTGTAGGGTCGGAAAGTGCGGTTATGTGATCGGGAAGAGAATTCCAGTGCATGATTGCGCGTGGTAATGAGGAGTTATTAAAGGCAGATGTATGACCGAAAATGCGCTTATAACTTCGGCTGTTAGTTAAACGACGAGATGTTCGGTTAGGAGGCTCAAGCAGGGGGGCGATAACGTTAGGGTTAGAATAGCGTGATTCATGAATGATGCATAAAAGGGCAGCGGTGCGACGTATTTCAAGTGGTTGTAAGAGTATAGAGTTTTTAAGAAGGGAGACACTTGCTTGGCGAGAGTAGGTTGATGTTATAAAACGTACTGGGTGTCCCTGCTAGCTTGCATCAAACTATATATATATATATATATCGCGGACTTTTTTTTAGGCAATAAAAAGAAGCGCGCAGAGCGTATCATGGAGGACCTTAATTGGGCGTTTCTCAATGCGCTCCAGAACTTTGCAATTCACACCTCTGCTCTTAACGAATAAGTAAAGGATAGCTAATTAGCCTTAGTTACGTAATTAATTGGGCGAGCTGAAAAAAATAATTGTTCAATTTCCGAAAACGCTTTCCAACTTACAATTGGTCTCACTCTCGCAGAGCGTTCCGTTTATTTGTAAAGTTTGGTGAAAGTTATCTGTAAACAACAAAGTGTATCGATGTTCTTGTCGTAATGATAAATATATACCCTTGTCAGACGGGAAAGTACATGTCATTTTGATTGAATGTCATTCACCACTCGGCGATTCAGCTCGTGATCCTGGTTCTGCCCGTGGCGGCTGCACGCCCAGCGTGGCGTATTAAACACGCGGATTGGTCGAGTTGCAATGTCATTTTGCTCAAATGTCATTTAACGTGCCCGTCTGACAGAGGTATTAGTCGCTTTTTTTCTATAATTTCGCCAGTACTAATTGGCAGACTAGAAACAACAAGATTGGCTGGTAAGTTTTCCTTTTTGGTCACTTTCTGGCTAACTTCTTTAAGACTATAACAACATCTCAGTCAAACGGCGACTAGTGAAAGCAGGTTTCTGGAATTTTATATACTTGTGTATGTTACCCTATTTAAAGACTCCTGATTTCAATATCTATATTCGTAAATGTCTTAAAGTGGTGCTTCTAACGTAAATAAAGAAATAGTTATGTTTTATTGTGATTTCTACCTTCACATGTTGTCTTTATGAAATAAAAACGTTGGCATTTTACGCGTGCACGGTACTACTAGAGAAGCGTAAACTCGATGCCTTTGTAATTGTTATAATCTCGGGTTTTAATTACATTATAACGCATTTTTCGCAAGACACAAAACAGATATAGAAGTTAAATAATGTAGTTAAGAGTGCAAGATTTTTCATTTGAACTAACACAATACACTTCTGATTACTAGATTGTTGGGGAATTCAAGGAGCTCGGACCAGCCGCATCAGTTCTCCTCGAAAAAATACTAAACGAGACTGCCACCCGGTTTGCACGTGCAACCTCCACATCGAAGCTTCAAGCCGGGCTTCTTTTTCTTCGGGTAAGAACTTTTGGAGCCTAATTTTCTAGCTATAAGAGATGTCCTCAATATTGTTTGGCCACCCAAACTTGTAAGGAAAGGTTGTGAGTTCACTTTACGTCAGGACACGGATACGGACAATCACGGCGAACAGACGAATTCCATGACGAATGACGGAGTTCAGAATAAGATTCGATCTGAAACATGCCATTGGCACAGGGACAAGGCGCAAGTGAAACGACGCAAAAAGCGCCCGTGTGGAGGCGAACCGCTTGGGTCTATAGGATGTACAGAGTGTCCCAAGAAATAATTTACATTATTGCTTTTTACCGGAAAAATAAACTACGCTTCGCTGAACCCTTGTTCCCCGTCCAAATGTAGCCCTCGCGGTCCAAACCAGATGCCAAAGTTTCAGCACTAATCGTTATTGTATTCAAAAGTTGTGTGATTTTTTTAAAATTTCAGTGGGAAAATAGGACACAATTTCGCTTGTTTTCTGTAACTGGCGCCATAGGGCTTCATGTTTTCGAGAGCTGTGTCGGCCTCCATTTTTTTATTGGAAATTTCAGAATATAACACAAGTTAAAATAACGGTTAGTACTGAAACTTTGTCATCCTGCATTACGGAATGATGTTTGTGTAATCACTTTGTTAATTTATGAAACAACTTGTTTGGTCTCTCATTTATAACCAGGGTATCGGAACAAAACGAAAACGAAAAACGAAAAACGAAAAAAACGATATTTTTTGGCGGAACGGAAACGTAATCGAAACGTTATTTATTATTTTGTTCCGGAGTGAAACCGAAAAATTTTCTTTTCGGTTTTCGGTTCAAGGGAAAATATCAGGTATTTCACTAATTCGTTTCACGCAGCGAAGAGACTGCCGTTAGTTTGTACCATAATTAAAGAGAAGACAAGCAAGCCATCGCCCCCCCGTCTAAACTCCGGGCGAACAAGCATAGCAAAAACAAAGACAAAAAATACAACGAGAAACAAAAAACATGACTCAAGGCGCCATTGCTTCCCACCAATGAGAGCGCGGTGGCGCGACGCCTCCACACGCTCGCAATGCTCTCCTTGGCACTTGCGCCCTCTCCCTCCATGCTTTCTTCGGACGACACAGACAGACAACAGATCACGGCAAGCGCGGGAAGTTTGTGACCCGGCGTTGTAGAAGTCCATCTTTTGTTTTTCTACGGATACGGCAGTCTGAGACTCTGTTGCAAAAGTGTACTTCTTCATCCCTATGGGCCTTCAGGGCCTTCTCGGCGCTGAAATTTATTTTATCGGACCAGAGGTCCTGCCTTTCACCGGGCACACTTGATGACGTGCTGCTTCTGAGATCATGCTCGGTGCCTTGATCATTATCTCATTCTCAAGGCAATAAACATGATCTCAGAAGCAATGTCGTTTCCGCAGATTCCTTTGGAGCGCCTGAATTATCTATTTTTGTGTAAAAATAAACGTTACGTTCCTTTTAATTTTTGTTGCGATTTTTTTTATAGAAAGAAACCGTTACGAACCGTTACGGAGCATTATTTTTTCGTTCCGGAGCGGAAACGGAACGGAAATTTTTCGTATGGAACGAAAATAAAAACGGAACGAAAAACATTTCGTTCCAACACCCTGTTTATAACTAACACTAGTTTTGCGCTAAAGACCCAGAGAAAATTTTGAGCTTCACCTTTGACGGTGTTATATTTTTTTTTCCCCTGTAATTACCTATATTTTATTCGTATATTTATCTTCTTGTCGGATCGATGGTTAGCCATGATGCGCAACACCTTGATCCACTCAACTATATCGTTCTTTTATTGCTATTTCTTGTTCAGTATTAGAAATAAATTTTTTGTTCATGGCGCACGCTCGGCTTATCGATTCTACCAATACTCTCCTTTACACCCGCCGGCATTATGAAGGTGAACACCTTACCTGGTTTCTTGCCTGTTTTAGAGCTCCCTAAATCTATATTAACTCTCAACGTCTCAAAGGGTGCGTGGCTTCGGGTCTAAGCTTTGCGTTTTAGCCCTTTTCTGGAACAGAGCTTGTTCCAAAACTTGCAGAAGCGTCAAAAAAAAAAAAAAATAATAGGGCTGTTCACCTTCATATCGCTCACGGGTGTACATGGATTCGCTCTAGTCCGTCCCAGTCTCGTTCCCAATAGACCATATGCGAGATTGTTGGAACGTCTGGCAACACTCCGTGCGCTGAAATCTAAGTTGCATCGAGATTCCTCTGCTGTTTGTCAAGTTCCTCGCGTTGTCGGTAACGCGAGGCCCACTGCTCACCGTCGTTGATCCCCACCCGCAACTGCGAGCTAAGGGTTAGTATCGTTTTACGCTCTTCTTGAGCACCGTATGTACGCGTCGTCCCACCGGTAACTGGATTCTCGCCGCAACCAACTTGGTGGACGTACGCTTCAGCTCGAAATTTGACTTTGAGAGCCGGCAAAGACACTGGCGCGGGTGCCAGGTTTTCGAAAGTTCTTTCTCTGAGTGAGTGCTTGTGCGAGCGAGGGATTCTTCGGAACTACGCTTCCGCTCTATGGTCTCTGCCAGCGCCGAAGCCAACTGGTGAGACGGAGCATGTGCTTCGACGCTCCACTAAATGTCGCTGTGCCTTTCGCATCTGGTATACTGCTGAGCGCGCCTTGTGCGCACAACGCGAAATTTTCCAAACTCCAGATGGTGTTTCAATTCAAAAGTTTCAAACGCCACGATATCGCGCCGCTGTGAGCCATCGTTCCTATGCATTGAACGCTGCCGCTGCATGCGTCATAATGGTCTCATGTCGTTGTCACCTCATTTTCATTCGAAACAAAAGCTCTGCTTTTTTTAACATGTTCCCAAACTTTGCAGTATTATTGCAAACGTGTTAGCTGTCCCATGGAGCGCGCCGACGTCATCAGCCTCGCCAAACGGCAGATAAATTCGTGAAGCCGTGATCTGAGGCATCTCGGGTATGAAGCCACGCAAAAAGCCACGCGAAACGGCAAATAAATGAAGCCGAAGGAGGCCGGCGCGCATCAGTTTCAATCAGTGCCACCCCATGGCGCTGCGTGCCCGCGCGCCGGAAAAAAGAATCGGCTGGCGCGCTCGGGCGGCGGCACGGCCGCCCGTGCGCGCCAGCCGATTCCGCGCTGCCGACAGAGCGGCGGCACGGCCGATGTCAGCGAGGCACGGCAACTTCACGAGGACGCGCGCAAGAACGACATTCATGCTTTCGCATTCACAACTTACAAGGACTGCTTAGGTGTACCTCGAGCCCCTTTTCTTTTTTTTTCTTTTTTTTTTCATTGCGTTTGGTCTTTAGTTTTGATTCTCAGCTCTTTCTTACCTTAATCACCCGTATGACGATCCCGCTACTATGCTGCAAGCGCGAACTCTTTGCTCCTCGACTGCACTAGCTATCTATCGCTCAGCACGAGCATTTGCCAAAAGTAAAGCTATGAGCTCCGGCTTCTAGTTACCAAAAAATACAGTTAAGACTTCTTTTTTTTTTAACATTTCTGCTATAAAATATTTTATAAAAACAAACACCGTCGTATGAATTTGTTTTCCTCCAGACACGTTGAGCTTAGCTTATTCTCGAGTAGACTTAGTGAAGGGGCAAGACAGTGCTTCTTCTTCTGCTCTACAGAAAAAATTAAGCACGTGCTCCGAGTTGTCCTTTTTCCTTTTGGAATCACATCAGGTAGTGACTGAAAGAGAAAGAAACCAGATAGAGCTAAAGATGTCTCTGGAAAAACTGCGTGTTTACAAAAAGCAAATAGCGAGGGGCACCTTCTCTTTGGGAAATCTCTGCAGTGAATCACAGAGGCTCGACTTCCTTGCAACGCAAAACAAGACTGCTGTTTGTTTGTTTGCTTGTTTGTTTGTTTGTTTGTTTGTTTTTGCTTTACACTTTTTAACAAGAACGGTGGGGAGAGGAGGGGCCCTCCGCCTTCGTTGGCCCTCGGCCATTTTCGGGTGAATCATCTGGCGCCCATGCGGAACGAGCTTGAGACCCTTGAGCTAGTTCATAGTGCCTCACTCGTGTTTCAATTACGTTATCTGAAAGTTTTGTTTTATAGATAAACCACGCCGCCCGTCGACCGGTTTCTCATGTTGCAGTATTGGTCACCATGTCTGTTTAACGTGGCTCACAACCAGCGAAAGGAGCAAACATTTTATTACGTTAAACCAGAACTTTATGTTTCATTGTCTTGTTCTTATGAGGCTGACAGTAACTGCTAACTTATTTTAGTAAGATAAAGTACAAGCAGCAAAAATATTCGCAATTAAACATATTCGTTAGAGGAGCTTAAAACAAAAATATATGTTGACTCTGATATGTCTCCTATTTTACAGGTGTCTCAGGGTCTATTCGGAGGTTCTGATAGCGAGTGTTATGACACAGTCGGATGCTTTACAAGAGGCGATGATCTGACTCTTCCCAGCGGCTTCCCAAGCTCCCCCGAGAGTGTCGGAACAAAATTCAACCTTGATTCTATGCAACACAAACAAGAAGCAGTTGAAATTTCTGTATCTTCGTCTAAAGAAACCTTAAACAGGTACTTCAGTACCAAGAAGGACCTGGTGTTTATAGTTCACGGTTTCGGACAAGGGGAACACAGCGCGATGCCCATTGATATCAAGAGCGCAGTTTTTGGAAAGGTAGGTATTTAGGACAATATTGTGCTCCCGTGGCTTATATATAGACTAACCATGTCGTCTCTGAATGCAAGTATACGGTTAGCCGCGGGACGAGCCATTGGGCGACTACTGTCGTTCAATGACTTGGTGGTTTCACCTAGTTTTTTTTTTTTTTTTCTGAAACTTTTAAGTGCGTACACAGATGACCAACTGAAGGCTATGCAAAGATAAATGAACTTTTACCTGAAATCAAACTCCACTCGCGCCCCCTAGGTGACCCGTGGACGCTGAAAAAAAAACACCTGGTTTGGGTTTCAGTCACGGCGCTCCGCAGCCAAGACTAATGAAGCATTCTCCAAACTGAGCTAACCGCGCGCTCGCGGACAGTAGAGTAAACAGATGCTAACCGTTGCCACCAGTCGACACCTGGGGTATTTTGGGGGACTTCCCTTAGAAATCGTGATGTCTAATCATTAATGTATGATCCCACCCTTACCGTGCCTAAGATGAAGACTGGGCAACAGTTAACATCCGTTTTCCCTACTTACTGCTAGCTACTGGTTAGCTCAGTCTGTGGAGCACTCCAATAGTTTCGGGAGAGGGGCCAGCTAGGGTCAAATCGCGGACCGGGCAGGTTTTTTTCAGCGGCAAACTGTGCCCTATATGTCCAGGCAGTGTTGTAGGCGTTACAGAAAAAAGTAACGAAGTTCGTTACTCCTTGCTCGTAAAATGAAGGAACACGTTGCCGAACTACGTTTTCTCAAAATATAAGAAACGCGGTACAGTGACCGTTACCGATAAAAAGTAAGGCACGTTTCTTTTGCGTTCGTTTCGTTTATAAATTGACGGTAACACCGTTTTTTTTTTCAACATTGTTTTTTGGCATTGTAATAAATAACGTGTGCGTATCTTCTTTTTTTTTTTAAGTGGGATTTTTTTTTTTTTTTTTTTTTTTTTTTTTTTGCGCAAGGCAAAAGGCAGGCACAGTCTGGAAGGCATGGGGAATGAACGCAATATTTAATGACTTGGCGCCTCAAAAATATTAAAAACAAGACAGTGATGTGCAGCGTGGGTGGCCCATACAAATGGCACGTCGTACCTCGTTTAAGTTCCATGCCAGACGCAGCCGACCCTACAAGTTAATGGGACCAATCAGGCAGAGTCAAAAGCGCAAGTCACTGGGCTTTTTTGTTTATGATTGGTTCAGCGATGATACAATACGTAAAGAAACACGGCAAGCCCCATGAGGATGTTCTTTTGACACTGTATGATCGGTTCCATCAGACTGTAGCATCGGCTGCATCCGGACATAAGGTAAAACGAAATATAGAAACACGAACAAAATTTAAGTGTACGTTTCTTGTAAGGATTTGGCAAAAAAATATGTAACGAGTAACGTAACTACGTTACCCGTTACATGAATTAAGTAACGAGTACGTTATTACGTTACTGAAGAGAGTAACGCGTTACCTGTAATGCCGTTACATGTCACGCGTTATTGCCAACCCTGATCCCAGGGCAGTGAACAGGAGGCGCCTCGGTCGATTGCTAGTCAGCGCGGCTGGTGGCCAAAAAGGGCAACTTTTGGAAGGTAGCGTCACCGAGCGATTGGACACGAGCGCTGCGTCACAGTTTGGAACGCCGCTCGGAGATTTGAGCTCGAGATGATCGGGGCCGCGAGTCGTCTCTGAGTTGCAAAAATGCCCCATAAGATGGCGCCTCTTGTTAAATCAAACTTTATTGCCCGGCGGGTAGAGGGCGCGAGTTGTGGTCTTTTTCAGGTTGAAATTAATTTATCTCCACATAAATCTTCTGCAGCTTGTGGACATTCCACTAAAGGATATTTCACCTAAGCTGAAGGGTAGCATACGCATCTGCGTGTGAGTGTGACTGGGTGTATTTCAACATCTAGCGGCCACTTATACGATGAGAAAACCAGTACACCGGCACCACCTATTAGGAAACCCTGGAACACTTGCGTCTTTCTTTAATACATGAGTCTATACTAAAGGTTTTGCAGTATTTTGCGAGATGAAGTCTACGCACTATCTATGAGAAATGATCGGATGTGGCATTGTCAAAATTATTTTCGCCCCATGGCCCAAAATATATTCGTAAAAAATGTAGAAATATGCGCGAATCGGAAGTGTTCCAGGACTACCCGATCGATGGCGCAAGTGTGTTCTCTGGTCTCAAGAGCCAGAATATTCCCAGTCACCCCAGTACCGCCATCGATTGACCGTGCCACTAGCGCGCTCATTGGTAGCCGATGACGCATTGCCATTTCTGGCTCATGGCCAATCCTACGTGCAATTGCGCTCGTTTGTATTGGCCTGCAGAATGTCCATCGAAAATTGTTTTGTTTTTTACTGCATTAGTAAACTACGCATTGCCGAAGGCTCATTCTCCGCTCAAAATTTGGCCCTAGAGGTTCGTCCATGGCGTCGAAGTTTCAGGACTAACCACATTATGTAAATTTTAATTTTATCATTTGTTGCTTGTCTGCAAGCATGCATGCAGTGCACTCTCGACAGTGTGTATGTGTTCTGGCTTACATCCTTCGTGAACGTAGAGAATATCTAAAAGCAGCCGTGAAGCGCTGTATTGAGTATGTCACGCTAGCGCTCGATCCTGCGATTACGCCGACATCCATGCCAACTTCAGTTTGCGCGAGTTTCCCAAATTAAATTTTTAGTTTCCTCAGTTATTCCTGCCTTTTCACCAGTCATTTCTGACAATATAGCGCATTTATTCGAGTACTTGACGCGCTGTTTATGAACAAACCTGCGCGCCCACTTTCCGGTGGAGCACACGAATGCATTGTTTTCTAGTTTCCGTATTCTCTAAGCTTATTATGTAAAACGCGACCATTAAATATGTGTGCGCCCTGTTTGAAAATAAAAGCACGGTGTAGTCTCAAGATCCTATTAGGTGAAATCTTGGCAGATCACTTCTTTTGTCCTCGAGGGTCAAACAAAACCTTATATATTACTATACACCATATTACTAAAACGTATGTAACAGATAACATTATATATTCCACAAATATTCGTGAATCTTGTTTTCTGCTGAGCATTTGGAGATCTAAGCACTGCTATCTACGAAAGATGCTTAGAAAAAAGTACCCCCAAAAATTAAAAAAAAAAAAATGTGAACCTCAAAATGATGCCTGCAATCTAACACTGAGAATGATGTCCCACGTGCTCATATCATTCTCGGTGTCCTATCCTAGATATTTTTAATAACTGTAATCTCCCGTAAATTGCAGTCATTGACCCTACAAATGCTCTGAGGGAAAGTGGACAGATCGACATTATTTTAGATTGTGTACCACAAGAATGCTAAGTTCCGTCTGTATCACCTCCTACAAGCGGCTAGAGTTATCTGTCATAAATTTTGCGCCCCGAAGCAGCAGTGTCCTGCTCTTGTCCAGTACGCCTCAATTAACGAGGGAGTTGAATGACCGATTTCCGTTACATTTAGGCTTATTGCAACGCGGCTTAGGGACAGCATCACCCCACCTAGTCAGACTAGAAACAACTCTGCTTAAATAAAATTTAAAAAAAAAGCTTTTTCGAGCATTGGTTTTATACTTCATCTTGACATTTTGACTATGTAAGTCAAGACAGAACTGTAAATGTTTTAGTTGAATTTTTTTTTTTACAGATAAATTGCAACATCGTCATTGTACTGTGGACCAAAGGTGCAAAGAAACCGTTGTACAATATCGCTGCAGCAAACACGGCCCTTGTTGGAAGGCAGATTGCATTGCTTCTTGAGAAGCTAACTGGAGAATTTCCAGAGACTGTTTTAAGTTCAGAAGTTCACTTGATTGGCTTCAGTCTTGGTGCTCATGTCGCCGGTTTTTCTGGGAGGACTTTTACGTTAAACACAAATCAAACTATAGGAAGAATAACTGGTAAGTATATTTTATGTTGATACAGTTATGCCAGAAGTTCATGCAGATGTAAAAGTGGTCATATTTATTTTTAACGAAGAGAACCTGCCGCGCCAAAGTGTTATTGCAGAAACAGCGTGAAATATTAATAAAAAAAGTACACGTTTGTGAAATGTGAACATGAAACAAAATTAAAGGCCGTCAATTAAACATAAAATGGAGTTAAAAACAAGCAACTTAAAAATCTGAATCTCTTCTTCAAACAAGCGATCCCACGTGAAAACTTGCTAATGCATGCCACTCGGTGGTTGTGCAAGAAAAAAAAATAACAGTTCTTGTAATGGGGTACACATTTGTTTTCATTTAATTGAATAATACACGTGAGTTTACACATTTCTTGGTGGCTTCCAAAGGCGATTTCCGTTCATCCGCGGGGGGGGGGGGGGGTGCTAAAGATAGCATACAGAAACTTCAAGCGCTTGTTTTTTCGCCCTCAAATTAGGGGCGCCCCTCCGATTATGTTTTCAATATCTTTCGCACTGATATTTCTAGTCTAATTTTTTTTTATGTAAGTCTTCTGTTTTTACAGTTTATCATTAAGTACTATTCGTGCGGCGCCTGTCCGTGTCGTACGTGCGTCTTTTTTCGTCCTGTTTGTTCGCGCCTTTTAACCTTTTAATCGATATCAACCAACTAGCCCCAACCAAAGTTTTATTGCCACAAAACACAGGTGTAATTAAATCTTCGTTCTCAGTAAGCAGCAAGAGGCTCCATTTTTCAGGATGACTACGCAGGTTATAAATAAGAAAGTTTAATGTACGACTAGCTTTTGTAATGGTTTATCTTACATAAACCATTAAACAAAAAGTGCTGGACAAAGTAATTCCTAAATGGTTACATTGGCGCCTTGATTAAATTTCTTATCTTCAATAAGATAACACGTTGAGATAGCATTATGTTTTGCACTAAAAGTAACGTCATGTTGGCAAGCTTATTAGCATTAAGCCCAAGTTCCCAACACTTACACCACTCAGATTCAATTATTTTAAAATGGCGGCATTAATAACACTGCTCACACTGCTCTGCTACACAAATATACATGCATCTGCATTTACCTTCTAGGCCCTTGGAACATATATATATATATATATATATATATATATATATATATATAAACGAATAATAAGAATAGTATATGACACACACATTAGAAGTGTGTGTGTGGGGGGGGGGGGGGGGGGAGGGGGTTCTTCTGGTATAAAACGTTACTGCGCCGCCTTATATTTGTCTAAGCAAACTGTAAGGAGGCCAATCAAATACTTATTATTTTGACCCAAAGTAGTTTATGGCAAGGCAAAATAAATTGATTTATTAAGATCGATAGAACTCTCATATTCTGTCTCAAGTAATCCGGAACGGCTCACCTTCTGATTCGTCACGTATTTCCTTGTCCCAATTCATAGAGAATTAAAATATATTATATTAACCTACACGAATAGAACCTTGGTATTTGGATTTGTTTCGGTAATTCAGTTTGCACAGGCGCAAAAGATACATAATTATGCCAAGGCATGTCTTTT